GCAGCAGCAGCAGCAGCAGAATAGAGTTTGTCAAACAGCCACCGCCGGTGAAACCACGCCTGATAGTTCTTCAAGTTCGAGGCACACACCTCCCGGCAAAACCCTGTGCGCCCAAACCCTAAACCCTAAACCCTAAACCCTAAACCCTAAACCCTAAACCCCAAACCCTAAACCCTAAACCCTAAACCTCACCTTTGCTTCTCAGCTTCCTGTACATGGCGAAAATCGCTGGGCATCTTTCTTGTTGCAGCACGAAGGCATCTGCAGCAAAGACAAGCCCCCACAAACCCTAAACCCTAAACCCTAAATCCTAAACCCTAAACCCTAAACCCTAAACCCTAATTGCTGGAGACTCAAGGCTCACCATGCCACAGTTGGAACATGAAGAGGACCTTGCGCTTTAGCTTCTGCACGCAGAGCAAGCAAGCCTTAAACCCTAAACCCTAAACCCTAAACCCTAAACCCTAAACCCTAAACCCTAAACCCTAGCCCTAAACCCTGACCCTAAACCCTAAACCCTAAACCGTAGACCTGAATTAACTCACGTGGATCCTCGGGTCAGTGGCTACGCCAGGGTGGACGAAGGGCCTGCAGCAGCACCCCATGACCACGAGCAGTAAACCCTAAACCCTAAACCCTAAACCCTAAACCCTAAGCCTAAACCCTAAACCCTAAACCCTAAACCCTAGCCCAGCTCCTACCCTCCAATGATTTTGTTTATTTTGTCCTTCACGTCCTTCGTGAGCGACCGCTTGAAGGTTGTCTGCGAAAGCGCATGTCGCAAAGGGTTTAGGGTTTAGGGTTTAGGGTTTCTTGAGGACCTAGGGTTTAGGGTTTAGGGTTTAGAGTTTAGGGTTTGGAATCTGAGGACTACGAGACCAGAGCGGGCGCAGCTCCGACACCCAGCCTTAACAGCTAGGGTTTAGGGTTTACGGCTGAGGGCTTGGGGCTCCGAACTTGTCAAGGGTTTAGGGTTTAGGGTTTAGGGTTTAGGGTTTAGGGTTTAGGGTTTGCTCACAATCTTGAGGACTTTGGCCATAGACCGCAAGAAGTGTTCGTCCATATGCCGCGCGAAGTCTAAGCCGTTGTTCTTCACGCATATTTCCACCAGCTGCAGCAACAAACCCTAAACCCTAAACCCTAAACCCTAAACCCCAAACCCTAAGCCCACCCTAAACCCCAAACCCTAAGCCCTAAACCCTAAACCCTAAACCCTAAACCCTAAAGATACTGAGCTAGAGCCTGCTTTGATCGGGTCGCCAAATCGCTTCCCGTTTCCGCCTGCCGCGCACCTGAACCCTAAACCCTAAACCCTAAACCCTAAACCCTAAACCCTAGCGGGTCCCCGTAAACCCCCATAAACCCTCATAAACCCCCATAAACCCCCACAAACCCACATAAACCCCCACAAACCCTCATAAACCCTCATAAACCCTCACAAACCCCCCTAAACCCTCACAAACCCCCGTAAACCCTCATAAACCCCCAAAAACTCCCGTAAACACCCAGCCCCTCCACAAACCCTCTCAATCCCCCCCAAATCTCCCTAAACCCCCCCAAACCCTCTTAATCCCCCAAACCCTCGCGCAAACCCCCAAACCCTCGCGTAAACCCCCAAACCCTCGCTTAAACCCCAAACCCTCCCCAAACCCTCCCAAACCCTCGGGAAACCCGCAGGGTTTGCTGCGGACCTCCAAGGCCCTGTACATGCCCTCGGGGTCCGTGGCCTGGCGCAGCTTTGCTGCTGCTTGCTGCAGCAAGTAGCTGCTGCTGCTGCTGCTGCTGGCGCATGCATCCACGCACTGCATGGCCAGGGCCGCGTTGAGCTCCAGGGGGCCCCCGTGGTAAGCCAGGCAGGAGGCGAGGGCCTCGGGGAAGGGGGGGGGCCCCCCCCCAAACGCCATCCCAAACCCTAAACCCTAAACCCTAAACCCTAAACCCTAAACCCTAAACCCTAGCCCGGGCCGCGGCGGCGGCGGCAGCGGCAGCGGCGGCAGCCCGGCGCGCGCCGGCGTCGGGGGGCCCCAGCAAGAGCAGCGACAGCGACGCTGCTGCTGCTGCTGCTGCTGCTGCTGCTGCTGCTGCTGCTGCTGCTGCAGGGGCCCCTCAGCAGGGCCCCAGAGCCCGGGGCCCCGCAGCAGCAAGGGGGGCCCCTGCTGCTGGGGGCCCCCGAGGGTACTGGGGAGGCTGGGGGGCAGAAGGAAGCAGCAGGGGCGCAGAACGGGCGCTGCTGCTGCTGCTGCTGCTGCTGCTGCTGCTGTCGCTGCTGCTGCTGCTGCTGCTGCGCACGGCCGCCGCGCGGGCCGCGGAAAGAAGTCCGGAGAAAAAGCTTTATTAAAGGCAGCAGGAAATAGTTTTAGACGCGAAAGAAGGCGCTAAACCCTAAACCCTAAACCCTAAACCCTAAACCCTAACCCTGCCGACACAGCTCCAAAGAACGCCAGCAGCAGCAGCAGCAGCAGCAGCAGCAGCAGCAGCAGCGCAGCGGACAGCGGGCGGGGCCCCCGTTGGAGTTAAAGGGGGAGAAAGGCAGAAGAGTTTGTAAATTGAATTGAAAAAAATAAAACGAAATAAAATAAAATAAAAAGGTTTTATTTCAGCTGCTGCTGCTGCTGCAGCAGCAGCAAAAAGCGCAGCAGCAGAAGATTTGCAGCAGCAGGCAGCAGCAGCGGATGCAGCAGCTGTCGGTACACCGCAGCCCCCAGCAGCAAAGAGCAGCAAGGGTTTGGAGATCTGCTGCGTTTTGCTGCAGTGTTTGGAAGCAAAAGAAAAGGAGTTGGAGACTGGGAGGAGAAGAAGGGTTTAGGGTTTAGGGTTTAGGGTTTAGGGTTTAGGTGCGGGTGCGCTGCGGCGGGCGGCGCGAAGGAGAGTGAGTCGGTTGGCGGCGAGGGTTTAGGGTTTAGGGTTTAGGGTTTGGGGCTGATCTTTGGGGGTTCTGGAGTGTGCAGAGGAGCGGATTTTTGAGGGTTTGTCGGGGGGCAGCAAACCCTAAACCCTCGCAGCAGCAGCAAACCCTAAACCCTCGCAGCAGCAGCAAACCCTAAACCCTCGTGGCAAGACCGCTGGCCTCGCGCAGCAGCAGCTCGCTGCGGCTCGCGGCTTCTTCTTCGGATCTTCTTTAAACTTTCCTTTTCTTTTCTTTTATTTTCTTTCTTTTCTTTTTCTTTTCTTTTTCTTTTCTTTTTCTTTTCTGATTGCCTTCGTTGCGTTTGCGCGGAAGGGTTTAGGGTTTGGAGTGTACGTACACCCGGCTGCGCGTACAGCTGAGCGGCTCGCGCCGTTCTGGGCTCATTCGGGCTCTCTGGTTTCGATTTTTTCGCTTTTAAGTCTTCATTTTTGTTTCTTTTTGCATTTCTTTTCCATTTGGGGGTTTATTTTCTCTTTTTTCCCGCCCGGGGCCCCTCCGAGCCTCTCCGCCATGCGGCGGCTTCTCCAGGGCGCCGTCAGGGCCCCCGAGCCCTCCAAGCGCGACGCCGTGGTCTTCTCCGAGGAGGGCTGGGCCCGCAGCAGCAGCAGCAGCTACGGCTACCCTGCAGCAGCAGCAGCAGCAGACGCAGCAGCAGCAGCAGCAGCAGCAGCAGCAGCAGCAGAAGACTACTACTCGGGGGCCGACGAGTACGCGGAAAACGAAGCTGAAGGCGAAGAGCTGGACTACAGCGGCTGGGAAGCAGCAAAAGGGGGGGAGGAGGTTTGGGCGGAGGAGGAGGCTGAGGAGTACCCTGCTGCTGCAGCAGAAGCAGCAGCAGCAGCAGCAGCAGCAGCAGCAGCAGCAGCAGCAGCGGAGGAGGAGGAGGAGGAGGGGGAGGGGGACTACGAGTACGAGTACTCGGGCGAGACGGAGGAGGGCGCGGAGGTCTACGACGAGGAAGAAGAAGCAGCAGCAGCAGCAGCAGCAGCAGAAGAAGCAGCAGCAGCAGCAGCAGCAGCAGCAGCAGCAGAGGAAGAGGAGGAGGAGGGCGAAGCCGCGGCGTACGAAGCCGAGGAGGCGTTCGCTGAGGACGAGGAAGCAGCAGCAGCAGCAGAGGAAGCTGCTGCTGCTGCTGCTGCTGGTGCTGCTGCTCCGTCTGCTGCAGCAGCAGCAGCAGCAGCAGCAGCAGCAGGAGAGATCTCGGAGAGCCGTTTGCTGCCGTTCAGCGCCGCAGAAATAGCAGCTCGCGTGGAGGTCCGGGAGACTGTGGGGAAGGGCAGGTGTCTGTACACCCGGGGGCCCCTCGCCCCCGGAGAAGTCGTCTTCGTGGAGGCCCCCCTCTTTGTTGCAGTACCCTCTTTGGCCCCGCAGCTGTGGGTCTTGCTGCAGCAGCTGCATGCAGAGGGGCCCCTCGAGCTGCCCCCCATTTGGCACTTGGCCGCCCTCTGTACCCTCTTTTCCCTCCCAGAGGGGCCCCTCCAAAAGTGCCTCGACAAGTGGGTCCCCGACAGGGGGGCCCCCCCCTCCCCGGACGTCCTCCGCGTCCTCTCCCGCCTCTCCTCAGTCCCCCCGCCCTCCGGGGGCC